TGGATCTGATCCTGCTACGTCCATTTGGCTCGTTGGAGTTTCTGCTGCTCGGGCGCGGTGATCTCTTGAAAGGATTAGCCTTGGCCTTGTGCTTGGCGCGGCGGACGCAATGGATGGTGGCTGTTGCAGATGGCCTTCGGACGCCTGAGCTTGCACCTGTGGCGGCATTGCTGGAGCAACATACGCACCTAGCATCCTGTCTGACCTTGCTGGAACACTGGGAAGACCACCTGGAGGCGGCATCAAATCTGGCACGGGGGCTATGCGGCTATAGCTGGGACATTTACAGCATTAGGGACCCTAGTCCTAGCCTGAGGAACTAGTCGGGTGCCTAATGTGCCTAAATGATAATCCCATGGCACACCCTTCAGACTCTCAGCGAGCTTGTGTTCCATCTTCCATGCCTGTCCAGTCCGTCGAACGGACTTGGTGAGGCGGATGCCTTGCGCTGTTCCAACAATGAACATGTCGCTTGTTGTGGACTTGCTCAAGAAAAGTGACATTTCCCACTTGGCATTACCCTTTTGAAGGGGCTTCACATAGGCATACACCGGTTCAGCAAATGGTACAAGCTTGCCATTGTATCGTGCCCCGCTCGCACCTTCGTGAGCGGTGAGGCCAGCTTTGACATGATACCTGGAGTAGCACCATGCACTGTGGATGAACGCCCAGCTGAAGAGGGGATGGTTGACACCAATTTCTATTCCCAGGCGTTCCCGGGCCATTGACAGCATGACATTGGCCAATCTTCTGATGACATCAACACTTTTCTCCACCGGCCCATTGGCCTGGTGGGCTGCAACAGGCGGATTCTTAATCCTAGTCTTAAAACCCAACCGCTTGCGAGCATTCAAAGCTAAGCCCTGCAGCAACAACTCGTTGTCGCACTTGAGTTCCACCTCAGTGTGCCCCAGAAGCTGACAAAAGCGGACTACCTCCACAGCTGCGTGTTTCATTGAAGGCGCACTCTTATCAGGAAGAGGTACTGCTGCAATTGCATCCGTGTGACTGCAGCGCACTATGAGGCAAGCCAATTTGTCCTTTTCAGAATCTGCTGGCTCATTAGTGCAATCATAGCCAGTGTAGCTCATGTCAAAGGAGATTGCAGGGTACTCTCGAACCCCTTCGTTGATCAGGCACCGCCTTCATCATGGTGCAATGCGGACACCAAGACTTATACGGGAGATGAGTGACCTCGTGGAGGAGTTGCTCCTCTTTGGATGGCACTTCTGGCACAAATTGTGCCCTAGGTGGCCTCTCAGAAACCTCCTTGCCGCCATCAGCTGCTGCTTTTGCACATACCCTCTCAAGTGGTCCAGGCACCTACGTTTGGACCCTGACTGTGAAAGGTTTAGCTTCAAGCAGGCTGCCTTAAGTGCACCCAACGTGGACCCCATAGATAGCCCTATACCATCCACTACGACTGGCTCATTTGAATCTGTCTGAACAGAGGCAGGATCATGTTCCATCTGATCTGCCACGGGCTCTGGCGGTGCTGGAGCAAACTCTTGTGGCACGGATGCCCCAGCCGGAGCATCCACAAATGGCTCATCATCCAGAAGCATGGCATCACTGTCCTGAAAGCCACTATTCTGGATAACCTCGCCCAACACTTCAACGCCAAACACGCTTGGGTCTTCCTCACCTGAACTGAGGACCACAATGCACTGGGCTTCTCCACAAGGTAGAAAAGCAATGAGTGCCAGGCTACGCACAGTTCCAAAACTTTCCATCCATCATCAACATACACAAGTGTAGCGCGGTATGGCCATGTGATTGGCACCAACAAGGACGGGTCGATAAAATGGTCACTGAGTCCTCTCCAAATGAAATGGCCACTGCTCTCAAGCGTCTGCCAAACATATGAGGCATCAACAAGTTCTTGGCTTGGCCTAGCGCTGGTGTACCTCACCTGGGCGTACTGCTGAACACCAGAATGGGCACCGGTGCTCTGCGCTGTCTGAACATTGGCGGTCTGATCTGCCTGTCCACCTGTGGCCTGGGATGACTGTGCGCCTGTGACCTGGGATGACTGTGCGCCTGTGACCTGGGATGACTGCGCGTGTGACCTGGGATGACTGTGCGCCTGTTGCATGGGATGACTGTGCGCCTGTGACCTGGGATTTTGGTGTGATTGGAGTGTCACTCTCAGTCACACGCCTGAGCTTTGCATGCACCATCAAGCTGTTCCCTTTAAACACTATTGGGACTTCCGTGCCACTGCGTCCATGTCTCAGGAACATGCCGGACTCATCTTCAGTAGGAAACCATCCAGCACGCATGAACTTGCCCATCGACAAGAGGGGCTGAGTGACTGAGGTGACCACACCATTTTCTTCCCAAAGAACAGGTCTGC